GGGGGGGGGCGGGCGCGCCCCCTGCGCTGCCGGTGGGGCAGTGCCCGGTCGCACCAGGCCCCGGGCTGGCTGCGGGGAGGTACTTCTCGGTCGGCGAGCGCCCCGGGGCCTCGCGGGGCGGAGAGGGGCTGTACTGCGGCGGCGGGAGCGGGCGAAAGGCGGGGGGAAGCAATGCACTTGGTACCTGCCGTGATCTTTGCTCTGTTGCTTTGGGTTTTGAGGAGTTGCCTGTGTTTCTGGCTCTAGAGTTTCTCTCAAGCAGCTGTTTCAGCCTAATGAGCCGCTCTGGAGAAGCTCTCATTGTATAGTACGCTTTTTCCCCAAGTGCTATTTGCGAAATGGGCTATCGCTAAAGATGCCTTAAGGATACTCCGAATGAATGCTTGAGCGACATTTAAAACGTATAGGAAATAATGTAACCTGTAAGAGTTGGGTATGGTTAATCTGGAAAAAAAAAAAAAGTGAAAATTCCTGTCTTAATCAAGAAATAGGACAGCATTATCCTAACTGGATAATGCTATGTAGCTAGTTTATCCTGTAGTGTTATATTGAGTTTTCTCTAAATATAAAGACAAGGTAAAACTTAGGACTTTGTTTTGTTAATTTGGCTGATTACAATGATTGCCAATTTGAGAATGATAGTGAATGATGGCATATGTAGGACACCCTTAGCAGGAAAGAAGAGGGTGTGGCATCCTAGGTGTCACCTTGCTTTTTTTTTCCTTGGGTGTGTGTGGTGTTTTTTTTTTTTCCCCGCCTTCCTGTACGGAAACAAGGTCTTCCTAGATCACGCTTATTTCCTACTTGCACTTGCTGATCTGCCCTTGATACCTGAAAACACTTTACCTCTTCAGTGTAAATGTTGTCACGTATTCATTTTAGATGATAGTTTATCTGTGCCAGGAAAACAAATGAATCCAGAGAGGGAGTACAAGAAAACTGAGACGGTACTGGCCAGTATGACAGGCAGCTGAGTTAGCATACTTTCCATGATCTTTTTTCTGTCGATCAAGGGAACTTCTACAGCATCGTTATGATAAACAAGTAGGAGTTTAAGAGTCTGCTTGTCCAGCAAGAAAGTACTCTGTGATCCTTTTAAAAAATAAAGATAAAAGTAAAGGTAGCCTCCTACTAAAGAGGTTTTAAACAAACTCCAGATCCGGAATACTCTTCCAAAAGACTTAACTTTTTTGTTTCCTCTGCTCCAGTATTTGCTTTATCAGTGGTGTTTCATTCCTAGATTTTTAGATGATTGATGGTTAAATAAATATGATTAGGGTAACTATGTAGATGATCTAAGTGATAAGCCCACCTGGAGCCAGTAGAGATCCTGTTGTAGTTAGCCCCTAAAAGCTTTTTTTATATGTTTTTAAAGTGTGAAACTTAAAGACTGTGGCCAGCAGGTGTAAGCTTTGTGACCTGAATTTGGCTAATCTGCCTTTTTTTTTTTTTTTTTTTTACTATTCACATTTATGTGCAGTGTTGTAAAATACAGCATTATTAATCAAGCATTGCTAATCTTCTTATGCCTGTTTGTAAGTTGTCATAGAGTATCTGTTTTGGGGCTTTATCAGTCTTTCTCTTTTTTTCCCTGCATGTAACCATATGATTCTCCTCTGCCTTTTGTAGTTCTTTAGATTAGGCTTTAGGTAGCACAGTCATAACCTTTGCATAGGTGCAAATATCTGTGCAAGGTGCAAGATGGGGAAAAACCAGACTGGATTATTTGGAACAGAGTTCACTGGAAGAATGCTAAGCCAGTGTCACTGAGTAGAGTATCCTACAATTTGTTAGAAACTCGATACTGATGGTACTTCACCTACTGAAGAGTTTGAGAAAGGGACTTAATGAAAGGAAAACTATTTGGCAGGACTGAATGTCCATCTTGAACTAATGTTCTGGTAAGCACTTCTAAGGATTCTTTCTTTTCTGGGGGATTCCTTACTGTGAAACAACTTTTCCAGTTCATTTTGGGTAAGTGCAAATGCATGAACAGAACACTTAACCTATTGGAAGGTGTTGAACTATGGAAGTATATAACTCCTCTCTTCCTTAATTTTTAAATAGCACAAAACTGAACAGCTAATGACACTGATAGGAGTGATAAATCATATGTTAATGGTCTTTAGCTGAGCAGATTAAAAAAAAATCTTTGAAGGGAATTTGTAGCAGTCTTTCAGAAGCCATACGCTGACGCTTAGAAATATCTTGGATGAAATCTAAGTTGTGATTCAGGTTCTATATTGCTTGTCTTTTTAATTGTGGTGGAAAAAGACACTTTTTAGCATATTAAGTTTAGAAACATGTATAAAAGTAATGCTTCCGAGAACTGACAAGTATGTATTTGCTTGTAAAGCCTTTGCTTAGTGGCAGATAATCTGCAGTAGGTACTCAGTAACGGGAGTTGAGCATCAAGTTGACAGTCCTAAATATTACATGATGTTTTGCAGAATTTGTTTGCTGTGCATATAAACATTCTGAAATTAGAGTTTGAAAAAACATTCAAGTAGTCCTAATTGCTCTTATATTTTAGTAACCACTAAAAGAAGTCGATGAAAGTTCCTAGATGTTACTTGTCAGCATTCTGCTGCAAGCTTTTAGAAAAGCCTCGGAATGTAACAGTATTTAAACTACTTGGTTCGCACCCCTTATTCTTATGCTTTGAAGCAATCTACCTAAGGATGAATAATAAACTAATGCTCATATCAGAACTTATGATAAAGTCATTTATCATAAAATATCATTTTAGCGGTAACAGGTAATGGAAGTGCAAATAAATGGGTTTATGCTGATGTGTTGTAGATTTAACTTGGACAAAAGTTTCAAAGTGTCTAACTATAATGAACTTGCTAAATATTTAGCAGAAGTATGGTTTCATGCAAAACAGAGGAGCTTGATTTAAAGTTTTAGAAGGGCTCTCATGGATAGGGAAAACTGTTTCAGTTAGCTTGCAGCTTCAGCTTTTGGCTTTAAGAAGCAGTAATTTACAGATTTTGCATCTGGTTCTCCTTTCGTTAGCCGGGAAGGTCAAGGCTATCTTGCATGAGAGGGCTCTGAAAAGTGGAGTTCAGTGCTGCAGCTTTTATGCAGGATGAGAGGAAAGAATATATTAGTGGACCTGAATTATATATTCTTTCTCATATAGCTATGGGTCTAGTGTGATGTTACCAAAAACATCTCTTCTCCTGTCCATAGCTTCATATTTATCATGTACTATTATGGAGCCGTTCCAAAAAATGGAGTCACTGATAATAGTTTAGAAATGGTAGCTAAGTAGAAATAGCGCCACTGTGTTTCTGGGGAGAGGTGGGTGTGCAAGGCTTCTTATCTGAGATGTAACACTCAGCTATTCCTCTTTCACCATCAGTTGTTGTATTTGCATATCATATTTAAAACACCAAATCGGAAATGCAGACAGAAGTCTTCAAAATACTGCTGTCTGCTCTCAGTGTGTGTTGCTTAACTTGAAATTGAGCAAGCTGCCCAATCTGATCATAGGGAAGTTGCCTTATGAGCACATTGCCCAACCCAATGCAAAGAACGAAGGTTGCCAAGGAGACGTGAAAAAATAGTTGCTGGCAGGTCATCCTAAAGGAGGGAGCAGTTGAACCTAAACAAATAGGCTGGAGAAAGAACAAACCTGATAAAATAATTTTACCTCAGTTGTCACAGATCAGACAACTGCTGTGCAACCTGTTCCCAGATAAGTTTTAGGAACTAACAAAGCCCTTGCTGTTGAAACAATTGAATTTGTACAATGTTGAATTAGTACTTAGTGTCACTTTCAAAATCACACCTTTACTGAGTAAACATTAAGATTCCATTTGGCCATATTATTGTATTTATTAACTTGATGCTATCTGCAGAGGCTCAGAAAAGCCTGGGTTTTCTATAAGACATACTTTCAGTGTTAAAGGAATTGTGATTTTAGATAGATTCATCCACTCCCACCATGGACTCTTCTAAGGACTTGGATGTCTAGTATCTAGTGCTGTTTAATATCTTGGTAAAATTGACACCGTTGTATTAAAGTTAATAATGGGCTTTGGAATTTCTGTTGCAAAATGCATACTTAGTCTGCAATAATTTTCTTATTTGATCTTATATGGTGTCCCAAATCCCTCCTAAGACCCCTCTAAAAAGAAGCTTTTTTAACTTCAAGGTCCTAGACGCCTGCAAATTGCTTTACTGAACCCTGAAATGAAAAAAGTATATTTGGATTCTGAAAGTCCTGTAGGGGAAGAAACAAAGTTGGGCGTAAAGTCTTCTTGACCACTTTCCAGACGAAGAGAAATTGAGTGCACTTGGACTTCATAGACTGGAAAAAGACAATAGGAGTGGAGACGGGCAAAACAAGGAAAGATGTTTCAGCGGAGGTCTGCAGCCTCATAAATGATGAGGGGAAGGTCAATGGAGATTGCATCCAGATTATTTCTCACCATCAAAGAATCAAGGAAAACTTGGTGAAATAGTGAATCAGACTTGTTTTGTTTTTTTTGGTTTGCTTTTAGTTTTAATTACCTTTTATTAAACTATGCATAGATCACCAAAGAATGTTAGGGACTAAAAATATAAAAGGATGGAAAACATGGTTAGACGAATTCATGAAGAACAGGCTCATTGATGGATTCTTGAACATTTAGAGGCAATTTAGATGTCAAGTCCCTAAATGCTCATTACCACGTGCTTCTAATATAACATGTCCTGTGTAATCTTTTTTGAATATCTGTTTGATACTAGACTAGCTGGACCTTTGGTTTTGCTTCCCTCCTTGCTATGACTAGATTTTTAAAGGGAAAAATAACTTAGCAACAATTTGAATTTCAAATTTGCTTTAATAATCAAACGTGTAGAAGAGATGGTCATTTATAATACAGAAGGTGGAACTAACGGATATAGTCCCTGTGAATGCTTTGCAGAGAACTTTTACATGCAAACAATTTGAATCTTAACAGAAATCACATAGTAAACAAGTAGTTGAAGATTTTTAGGAAGATGCATGCTAGAAGCTAAAGTTGACCCTGACTTTCACCTAAGCTACTGTAAGTTATTTTTACCTTCTTCAGGTTAAGATGACTGTCAAAATTGAAAATTCATCACAAGATCTCTCCAAGAGAAGCTATTCTGTCCCAGTACTGTTTTCTTCTGCTTCTTTGTCAAGAGAACATCAGATTTCCTCTCTTGTGAAGGAGAGAATAGCTTCTTACGCTCCTGACAACTTGAAATCTGGCAATCTTATAACATGTCTGCTTGCAACCGAGTAGCTCGGTGTAACGAGATCCAGTCCTAGGAAGGATTATGGACATGCTAATTTCTGTTTTGTGTTTTTCTTCCTCCAGTCTCCCACAGTCAAATCACTCGCTTATACAGTCGCTTCACCAGCCTAGACAAAGGAGAAAATGGCACTCTTAGGTAGGTACCGTTGTTAATTTGGCTGTCCTTGCACTGACCCATACCTATAACGGTGACTTGCTGTTGCAGTGTGCCTGCGTATGTTTTCCTCACATGGTGAATCAGTGAGGCTATTATAACAGGGTCTTTCATACCTGTTGTCTACACAGAAATTCAAGTTTGTTCCCTCTTATGAAGGAGAAATCTCACTGTTGAACTGAGTAAAGGTGCTCTAAATACCAGCCGTCTTTACTGTAGAGCTAAAGATTTGTAGCAGTTAATGCACAAAAGGTCAGAGTTGATATTCAAGGTTTTAAAACAACCATTCAGAAATTTTAAACCGTGTGGGGTTTTTTTTTGTTTTTTAGATTTTTATCTCTAACTTCTCCTTACACATTACTTCTAATTTATACTTATTAGTTTTCCACTAATACTTTTCACTGCTCCACTCCATACTGGACACTGCTTCACTATCTTATTCGTTCTGACTGTCATAACAAAAAGGTCATTCATCTTGTTGGGGTTTTAATTGTTTCTGAAGCTCAGTGTCTTTTAATACTACTTTGATCTACAAATCTTTTTCCAATCTAACTTTGCACCTCTTGTTGAACAACCATGTCTATTAACATGCTCAAAAAAAAAAAGCTGGAACCAAGTCACTGTGACTAAACAAATGCACGCTCTGTTCTTTAAAGTAGTAGTTCACATGGAATATCCTGCACTTTTTCCAAGTCCAATGTGTTTGTCTCTGTCTGCAATTTGAATTTACAGTTTGATGTTCTGAGTCCCTTAATCTGTTTGTCTTCTGACTACAGTTTGAAAACTGTAAAAATGGGCTGGTTAGTTACAGCTTAAACAATCGGATAAATAAAAATGTGATTTAAACTTTTCATCTGCAGAAGATTTTTCCCTTTGATGCACTGAGCCTGCTGGAAGTATTCTCAAGTGAAACAAACTCTAGTGGGGTGATTGCCTGTTTAACTGTGTACCTTTGCCATCTCTGTTCTGTAGCCTTCTCCGTTCTGGTTATTGTATTGCATGTTGGTATTGACTTGCTCTTTATTTACTGAATTCATTACAGATTCTGATTGTGTGCAGTTGCTTATTACTCTTCTCTTTTGATAGAGCTTACAGATTCCAATAAATGAATTAATAATATGGAAACATGGCAAATAAGTTGCCCATAATTAGTTTAAGGATACAATTTTATGACTAGTATAAGCTGATCTAGGACTATTTTGCCACTAAAAGTCTGTTGCTTTCTTGTGTTGATGCTAGTGATCAAAGCTCATCTTTGGAAACTCACCTGGCTGAAAATTTGCCCAGCAAAATGAACAAAAAAGGAACCCAATTAGTTTTCAGCCTTTTTCACACTCACCATATGGCCACAGATGCCAGCACCAGTGTACAGAGAAGCTGGAAAGAATGTAGAACAGAGTAGGGAGGAGAAAGGGATCTTGTTGTAATGTACATTCAGGAATTCTTGAGTTTTGCATAATCAGTCCTTGTAAAATGTGATGCCAGAGTGCACTATAACCCAAACAGCTAGAATCACTGCTTACAAGATGAAAGTGCAGTTGTAAGATGCACTATCTTTGCCAGTACAGCTGGCTTACTGCAGCTTCCTTCCCTGACTTGAATGCAGATCCTTGCGGTGCCACCAATTGCTGACTTCTCGGTTATATGCAAGTAATTGGTTGTGGTGCTGTACTGGACTACAGAGTGATTTTTTTTTCTTTTAACCAGAAAAATTCCACAACAAACAAACAAAGCTCCTGCTTTCCCCACCTCCACCCCCTCCCCTTGTGTGTACGGGTGTTTTTAGCCTGAGACTCTACTGATTCAGATACTTGGCTGTACTGTAAATATCTGGCCTGGCATAGCTGAAGGGATGACAGACTGGATTGTGGGTGTGGAAACAAGTGACTTTAAATGGGATGGGCAGGAACTTCTTCAGCCAGCTCTGCCACTGAAGACAGTGTATCATTTAAATTATAGCATTGGCTATTGTGACAATACAGATCACCTGATGATGTGTAGGGACGGAGCTACTGTCTGGAGATTAAAACTTGGGTCAGATTAGGCAAAATCTAGTCACTGCTTCTACGTAATGTTCTGTTGACCAATTCAATTTTAAACCACTTATCTGACATTAAAGAAAATAGTTGGCGTTTTCCTGGAAGGGTCTGCCAAGGATTAGATACATCTCTGGCAGGATTCAGTTTGTATCCAGCTGGAGTGTTGAAGCGTGCTCAAAATCTGAGGAAAAGTGTAGTGTAATTTTTAAAGGCATGTTCGGTTAATAAATAAAATGAATGTGGTAGGACAGCTGACTTGATTTTTGAACAAGGGATTAAAGCTTTGCTTTGTTTTGTTTGTTTTTTTTTTTTTTTTAAACAAACTTTTCAGTGAAAATTGCACTTAAAGTCTCTGCTTTGTCCAAGAAAGTTTTGGGTTTTTTTCAAGTGAGTTTTCTTTAGGAAAAATTTACTTTTATAGAGATAGTGTATAAGCCAAGTAGTACAAAGGTAGCTGACTAATTTTATTTCAAGCCAACAATGGTGCTAGAATGGCTAGTAACTTTTTTACTACTACTTATGTCTCAACATTAAATTAGTTAACAGAAGAACACTAACAGCCTCGTGAAACTTTGCACGTGGGTTTAGCGTTTGCTGATGAATAAAGATGATGGCTACCAGACTAGTCTAGTTCCATTTGAGCCTTATTTCTCAGGTACATACTGTTCCTCACTTCCTCCCTCCAACTTTACACAACTTTTATGGATCCAGTGGGTGAATTTAAAGTTTGAACTGATCGTGCTCAATTTACTTAAGAAGAGGAATAATTAGTTAAATATGATATGAATGTTTGTTGCACAATGTTTAGTTTCATAGTGCTATGTATCGGGAGGAGTTTGACTTTCGTTGTTGATAACCACTTGGTACTTGGAAAGGAAGTGAACTTCATGTGGAAAATCCCAGCAGGCTGTGATCCATTAACCTGCAGCATTGTAAGTATAGCCTGTTCCCAAAGGTGGCTGACTTAAGAGTGGTATGCAGATTCGGAAACCTGTCCTGGCTCCCACAAGATGTGGAAACACTCATTACATTTCTAAGTAATGGAAAACTACTTCCTGATAAAACAATGGTGGTGGGGAAGGGAGGAGAATTGCAGGTCAGAAGCTTGTAAATGATGGTTTTGGAAATGCTGATCAACAAGAATGTGCTAGTTTCAGACAAGCGAGATGAAGAGATGGGGAAGGGAGGGCGGGATTCTACCTGTTACCACCTACTTATTACCATCACATGATTTAGAAAGCATATCTTCTCTTTATTTCCTGTGAGCAAGAATGATCGTTTCTAGAAGGGTGGTTACATGATTGACTTTTAAATGACAAAAATCACTCATGTGACCATGATTTAAAGAAGTCTGTTACACAGTTCCTTGTGGCGTGCAGTACCTCTTTAAATATGGACCACTCCTTCAAAGCATGGAAAAAGCTGTGGCTCTTCTTTTTTTTGTATTAAAAAAGGGCAAAGTGAAGAGTACTGAGTTCAGAAGATCCTGGGGGTTAGAGAGGTCGGGTAATTCATTCTGGAAATAGAACCCAAAGTTGAAGTATTTTCTAGTCAGAGGATTGTAACCAGTACACCTGGATGGAATTCCAGGGTACCGTCGTTGTATAGCTTTTTACATCTGCGTGGTAGCCTGTGCAGTACTACAGAGCTACATAAATGAGATGAAGTTCTGGCTGCATCAGTATTCTTTGCTTACATGTGCCTTCCTCGGGCACTTTATTTATTCCCCTCTCCTATCCTCTAAATGGGTACAAATCTGGCTCCTGAGGAACTGCAACCAATTCTTTAAAGGACTAGGAAAGCTAAAGAAGAACATAGAATTTTTCTAAATGAAATGGGTAAATTCCCTCAGATTGGCACCATCTGCCTGAAACTGAATTGTAAAAGCTAGGATGAAACTGTTCCTTTGAAAATATTCTTGATGCTTTAGATGTCAATATTATGACATGCTGAATTGCCAAGCAATGTTAATGCTCTTGAATGTCCATGGATACCGCTAAATAGCGCAATCTGAGGCATCAGTTTGACTAAATCCTAACTTTATCAGGAGAGCAGTGTGCACCTTTTTGCCTTTACGTTCTGATCTCCAATATGAGGAAACAGGAGTGTGTAAACAGGATAAGTGTGTTCATGCCCTAGTGAGTTGTCTCCTCTGGCTCATTGGAGGACCAGTACTGTAGTGCACATATATTATATCTGCTCCAAAATGTAGATACTTCTTATGAGGAAGTAGTGCTAGACAGTCATGGATAGAGCTATAAAAAGGAGGTACTTGCTTAAACTGCTCCTGTGTAACTTCTGCGTAGAGCCTCCCACTTATAATAGTTTCTTCCACACTGGAGAAATGAAATGGTAAGCAATTCAGAAGTGGGGTTTTTTGTGTGCGTGTGGTTTTTTGTTTTTTGTTTTTTACTGTACAGCAATTGGTTTAGATTGAGTGTGGAAGAACAAAGGCAGGCAAATATTCTGAAAGGTGATACATAAGGACAATAGGCAAACTGAACTGTTTCTGGCTGCCTCACACTTAGGAAAGCTGTTCATGGGACAGTGTCTTCTGGAGAACTTCAGAAAACCCCTGGTCCTGAGAGATGGGTAAGAGGAGAGATAGCTGAGCTAGCTGTTACTCTTTGTCAGGGTGCTGATTCATTTCAGTTTGAACAAGTCTGAAGCTTGTTCTTAATAGTTCGAACTGCATTGCAGGCTTTTCAAGTAAAGCATACAAGCTTACTCTCTCTGAAGGTGGAATTCTTTACTTTTTTTTGTTTTTAAGCTTTACCCAAAACAGACTAGACAGGCAGGATATGGGATTGGATCAGTGTATATTAGTCTATGCTTTCCTCCTTGACTGTGCTTTCTTTTATTCATACTGATTTTTTTTTCTATTGCTTTTCTTCTGATTTTCATCTCTTTACTTCTGGCATACTCCTTCCTTGCCTGATGTTTGTTAAGCAATTACTCTTCTGTTTATTAAGACAGACTCTTAAATTTGTATAGACAGTGTGCAAGGGTGAAGTTAGATGAGGTAGCTGACACAGCTGTGAAAAAGGAGGATGACATTAGTTCTCCAGGCTCTGGAGAACTACATCAAGTTTCCCCTTCCTCCACCTTTTGTTATGCATGTTGTTTATATTCTCTCCATAGTTTTGCTTTCCTTCAGCTCTAGGTAGCCCTACCCTCTCCATTCCTGTTTAGGGAACAGTGCTCTCTAGTGCTTTCTAAAAGAAGCAGCATAAACAATCAGAAATAATGGAATAAAAAGAGAGGCAAGTAGGTTGCTTGTAGCATTTGGGATAAGGCAGAGTCGCGTTTATTTAGGGATCTGCTATGTGTCTCAGAGGATATACTAGCACTATTCACGCTTAGAAATGCTTGTCTTAGAATCTGTGAATTCCTTGCTGCAAAAGGAAGTCTAAGCATGAATGCTCTGGCATTGATATGAAATGGCTGGTCTGCATAACAATAACATGCAGTTAATGACAGCTTTGCATGTTATCTTTAAGCAAGGATTTAATGGAAGCCAGCCTCCAGGAAAGATCTCATTAGAAGAGCCTTGTTGCTATGGCACATGAACAAGGAAGAAGTAGAGGGCATCAAATTTCCTGTAAGCTCCAGCCTCAGCCAGGTGAAGTTGGTCCCTAATGACTCTCAGAAGCCTTGGTTTATGAGTGGAGAATAACTTGCATCCTGCATTCATTTACTTTTATGGCTGTTTTAGCTATATCAATTATAATACTCACTCCGTAATGTGCTCTTAACAGGCAAAAATGGCCTGCTGCAATCCTGATAATGACAGGAGAAATAGATTTGAAATCTGGGGAGTTATTTGTGGTTAATTGTTAATCTTCTGCTATTAAACAGAACAACTAGAGGCTGAAATGCTGAATGTAAACTGTTTGAGACTCAATATTAAGAAATAGTGATATGTAAGGAGAAATGTGTAAGCATTAGGATTTTGTTCTAAATGGAATCTGAGAGCAGTTGTTGCTTTTAGCCTGTAAATGTTAGCATTGATATGGAAGTCCTGTGGTTAAAATATTGTTACTATGACATAGGTTTTCCACATCACTGCATCTCCTGCCTAAATCACTAATGCATACTGTGCCCTTCAGCTATGGCTTAACATGCAGCAGTCCTGAAGGGTCTGGTAGCAAGGTGATAGTGTTATGCAGATGTTAACTTTGCCTTGTTAAAAATGATTCAGACATGGTCAGAGCAGTGATTCTGTCTCTGAGAGAGCTTAAAAGTATGATCGGGTCCCTCTATATTAGAAGGCCAAATAGTTTCAACTATCTTGCAACAGATATACAGTATAATTGGGACTCTTAACAGTGCTGTGGTGTAAGAGGGTGCAAGGAGTGCTTTACAATGCATCTAAAATTTGAACTTATCACTTGCACCTCTCTCGGGCTAGACTAGTAATAAGAAGAGGGTTAGCTGATTCCTTAAGGCTTTTTGTCTTTAAGATCTCAGTGCTGTAAAAGGCCAGTATACTTAAATAATCTCAAAGTATGTTCTTGTTTATTTTTCTCTGGCAGATTTTGGGGGGTTTTGTTTGTTTTTCTGGTTAAGGACAACACATCAACCTTGTTGCTGGCTCATTTAGTGAGCCTTGCTGGCTCATTTAGTGAGCGTTGGTGTCAAAAGCAGTGAGAATTTAGCAACCAAACTTGACATTGTGACTCAAACTCCAGAAACAGCAGGACTGCATTTGACTTGAAGGGAATTGCAGGTATTTCTGAAAAATCAGACAGGAAAAGTCAAATAATGCATCTAGACAGGATAGACTTCTACAGCCTTACCTTTGCTCTTTCAAGGCTAAATGAGTATGGAGTGAGTCTTATACTAACTGGTAAATTGTTGCGCTCTGTCCTGCCAAAAAAAAAAAAGGTTTCCTGAACTTTTCACTGAGAATAATCTACCACCTACCCTGTAGCTCTGCCCTGGACACACCAAGATTATGCCATTTCTCTGTCAGTGAGATTCTGTTAAGTTGAAAGGAAAGAAAAACTATTAGTGTAACTGTAATATTAGTGTGTTCTTGTCATACTGATCTGAAATGTGTTTACACCAGTACAACCCAGGATCTCTTCCAAATTAGAAAAGGCTATAACTATGTAAGCATAGTTATGCTTGTACTAGCTGTATACATATAACCATGAGCGGAAAGGAGAAGAGAATGGCTAGCAAGAGCAGTGTTTGCACTGAAGTTGCAGCTAGCGTACAGGCCCCGTCAAAAAAAAGACTAAACCTTTTATTATTTAAAAGTAAGAATACTCCTTGACTGAAGCTGAAATAATCTGAAATTTAGCATTCATAATTATATATAAAGTTCTTACATAGACCAAAAATTTAAATTAAAGTATGCAGGCCAACTGAAGTATGTTTGGAAGCACAGGGCACTGTCTCAGAACCTGGAATGAGCTAGTCTGGGAAAAATCATTCTAATTCAAATGACTTACTGCCAAAATACCTATCAAAAATAATTTATTTTCATTTCAAAGCCATTTCAGAAGCGTGCTTTCCTTAACTTGCAAACTATCAGCATTATTTTAGGAAGGTTACTAGCATGGACGTAACTTTTGCATCTAAACAGTGCTGTTAACGTGATACATTACAGACTAGCAGTGTTCATTTAATTCAGGCTTGGTGTTACCTTCTGCTTAGCTTTATGCCATTAGCAATAGAGAAGGCATCATTTAAAGAGTTGTATTTTGAAAACAACCAGTTGTCTTGCTGCAGAAATAGAACCAAACAGCGATGTTTTACTGTGGCTTCTTTTTAAGCAACTTTATCTCCTTCTAATTTAACTTCATGCAGACTTTTTATGTTCTTGTTTTTCTTAGCCGTGAAGACTTCCAGCGGATTCCAGAGCTTGCCATCAATCCGCTGGGAGATAGGATTATCAATGCCTTTTTTCCAGAGGGGTGAGTTTCTGCTGGCTGAATTTGTGAACAGTCACAAAATTTGTAGTTCATGAGAAGCTCTTATCAGAGTGAAATGCCCATGGTTAAAGCACAGGATCTGAATTTCGCTCACCTTGTCATGAGCTTTGTAGGTCACTTGTTTTCTCTGCATGTTTTCCTTCCGTAATACGAGATATTTGCCAGCCTGAGTAGTTGAGCATTTTGTGAGCTTTATTCAGTGACAAACTCTGGCTGCAAGTCGTTTTGTTTCCTGGTTTTCTTGCCATGCTGCTAAATGTCCCTGAAGAAAGTTCAGGGCATCTGTTGACTTTCATTCTTCAAGTAAACTTGCAGCAATGCTATCTTTTGCTGACTAACATTACAATTAACTAATTCAATCTCGATTTTTCACCTTTTGGCCTCTAAGTGTACCTCTGTTATTAGATCAGCTTTTGTTTTTTAGTTTGGATCATACTTAAATTTCAAATTATTCACACCCTGTGTCTTATGACATTTCTAATACAAATCCAAAGAGACAATCAAAAGTGGAGTTACTGTCTTCCTTCACTATATTTACTGCTTCTCTAGATTGTTTTATAGAATCTGCTACTGCTCTTGAACACACTTCTCATTATTGACTGATGGCACACAATTCATCTAATCAACTCTTCATACAGGTTAATGCCAGGCAAGGGTTTCCTGAATGGAAAACAAGAGCTCTGGAAAGTATATACATAGCTTATTCCCACAGGAGCTCTAGAGGAAAGAGCTATTTGTCAGGGAGCAGCAAGAGAGGGCTACACCACAGGCCAGAGCCAAGGGTGACAGCAGCACTGGTAAAGGCAGTGCCCTCCCTGACAAAGGGCTCAGTGCCTGAACAAGAAGAGCAGAGCGAGTCCACTGCTGGTAAGCCCACTGGGGTCAGCCAACAGTCCAGTGATTGCCAGACAAGTCCACAGCAATGAGCAGGTTTGAGGTCAAGCAACAGAGTTGTCTGCAGGTCCAGATCAGCAAGATTGCCAGGCACAGGTAAAGCTGCAAGACAGCTCAAGCAAGAATGAACAGCGAGGGCCTAAGCTTAAATACCGCTTTCAGGCAAAGAGAGGGGAGCTCCCCGACAAGACTACTTGCAGCTTTTTTTCCCCTCCCCACAGAGCAGTCCTCACAGCAGCCTGACAGTTACAACTGCACCATATCAGAGCTGGTTTTGAGCACAGGCAACCAAACCCTGGGGAGGGGAGAGTGGAAGAGTTTGCACGGCACTGACACTAGGTGTTCATATTGTTCATTACTGAAGTAAAGAACTCGCATAAGCTAACCTGAAACAAATTGACTTGTTGAAATGCTTATGCAGAGAGGACCAAGTGAATTTCCGTGGATTCATGAGGACTCTGGCCCACTTCCGACCCATAGAAGATAATGAAAAGAGCAAAGACCAGAATGGACCAGAACCACTGAACAGCCGAAGTAACAAGCTCCACTGTAAGAAATATGAACCTTCCTATACAAGTACTTCCTTTTATTTTTTTTTGGTAGATTTTTCACACTTTTCTGTTCCATTTCTGGGAAGGTAGTGAAGGAGCTTGGAAGTGAAGGTTCTCTGCACAGTCTTTCCTTGTGGAGTGATATATTGTAGATTTTTTTTGTTTTTTTTTTTTTTTGTTTCTAAAGAACTTAAGTTAATCTATTCAGAATGTCAACTAAAGAAAAGATAGTCATCTCATACTAGTATTGGAAATTGGAATTGTTTGAAACTATAGAGTTGATTGAACCTTGAGTAATAGATATCCTTCTCTGAATGTCTTCTGACATGTATTCCAGAATAATTTGTATCCTAAGAGCTAATTCAGATTACAAAGTTATGTTCCAGATGTGAATGGGCTTTTTGGTTTCTTTCTCTAGTCTTCCATGGAATACAGTACTGCTGGTTTTCTCTGCTTCAGCTGAGTACTTTCTATGACAATTCTGCACTCTGCCTACAGTGTAAGAGCAGAATGTGCTTGCACACTAAACTAAGTTGGCAAGACTCCTCTGAGCACTGAAACTGTCTCTCACATATCTCATCCAGAATATAATCAAAGGGACAATGAACAATAATCTAAAAATGTGTGGATCTGAAGTTCAAGGATTTAATATATCTTAGTGGTATCTACACTTCCGTAGCTTAGAGCTTTGAAGAAATTCTTCTGCAAGCAGAGTGCTTCTCTAAGTACTCATAGCGAGTACTCAAGTAAGACTTTCACATCTTGGCAATAATGTTATTCCTGTGTATAGTAATCTCACTTTATGGAACTGAACGTAGAATTGACTCACCATAAAATTCAAGGTAACTCTTTTAAAATGGTTAACAAATAGCTACTGTTATTTTTAATATATAAATATGTGGTTATGAAGAAAAATAATGGCACTCAAATTCAACTCATTCTTCTCTTCCCTGTAGTTGCTTTTCGATTATATGATCTAGACAAAGATGACAAGATTTCCAGGGATGAGCTTCTTCAGGTAAATAGCATGGGGCTGCTTTGAACAACTCTTATCGTGGCCTTCTCTGTCACTTCACGCCCATGTAGAAGGAAGAGGGAAGTTGCAGCAGTCCTCTCAGAAGAATTCCTGAAAGAAATTGGTGGCTAATTGCTTATCTCTGATTTAAAGCGTTAGATATGCTATGAGACCTTAACTTTTGGTAGCCTAGATTGTTTTATCAGACTGTGGATGCTAGATTCAGACTTAAAGCAGACCATTAGGCTAAACAGAACTTTTCTAAATAATGCATAAATATGCAGGAATTACACCAGCCCCCTTAAGAACTACCTTCTATAACTTTTAAAGCTGTTTCTAACAAGACTTCAGAGGGACGCTGCTTGAGGTGGATGAGGTCATTTGACTGGTTCTCTCTTTGTCCTCTCAGTAGATTAAAACTTCTTGAAACTGCAGCAAAGGTAATCAAAGTTCATCAGTGCTGCATGTGTATGAAACTAGGCTTGAGCTAGGAGTAATTACATACTACTAATCCTGGGAAACAGACATAGCAATTTGTGGTTCCCGATGTAGGACGAGAATTTACTTTCAGCTGAAACTGCCCTCTTCTATCTGCTGCACAAAAAATGCTTCACTAAATGTGGAGAGTGACAGTTATCACTTGACCATATACTTACAAGATTCCTGTAGGCAGCAGTCTTGAATGGTAGATATTCAAATCAAATATTGATAAGCTCTATGAGAGAGACAAAAGCATCAGGGGAAAAAAAAATGATTCATTTGTAGTTCCAAATGCTTTCTAAATTCTTCTAGTCTTCTATTGCGTATTGAAAAAGCAGAAGAGGTTTCTTTTTCAAAGGTAGCTACAAAAGGAAGCTCTTTTGCCTAAAAGAGTTGATGCGCAAGGACAAATAAAGTCTCTCTAGAAATGACTTCCATGGAAATCCTGAGCTGTTCTTGTATAGAGTTGTTACCCGAACAGAATCCATGGGGAAAAAAACACTAAGAATACTTGTTCCTATGTCAGTAATGGTTATTTTGCTTTCTTAAAAACAAATAAAAGGCATCTGGGGACTTCTGTATGTTGTAGGTGTTACGGATGATGGTTGGTGTAAACATCTCAGACGAGCAGCTGGGCAGCATTGCTGACAGGACAATCCAGGAAGCTGATCAAGATGGGGATAGTGCCATCTCCTTTGCAGAGTTTGTAAAGGTTGGTAAACTACATTTTTAATGAGAGGAAATTAAATTGCTCAGTTAATGGGCAGGTCATTCAGACTTGAAAATGCAGGTGGAAATAGGGAGGGGAAGTTGTTCAAACAGTCCTTCCTGCCTGCATTTGGCAAAGCAAGCCTTCCGCTAGTTCTTCTCTATCCCTTCTATGTCAAGACAGCTTTTTTTTTTTTTTTTTTTTAAAGCTCGGCTATCAGGGTATTAATAATTAGTCCACGTGTTTCTTCCATACTCTTGTTAAGCTACACTGCTGAATATACTGAAGACTTTTCACACCATAGTAGGAAAACTTCAGACATCAGATCCTGTAAAGTACTTCCTCATAGAGGAAATTGTTAAATGAACAGTGACAGGAGCTTAAGAGTTATAGGAAGGTAGTGATACTCTTCCAAAGCCTGCTTGCAGTGAGATGATAGAATGAGATTTGTATTGCAGTAACTATTGTTACTTTTCTTTTGTAGCCACTTCTTTCTACACATGTAACCTGACTAGTGTAGTGACAGGAGAGTAGCTCCTATGCTATGATTCTGCCAGTTGGTTGTTGCTTGTAGACTTTATACATTAGTGACACAGCTAATACCAGTGTGCAATTTCCTAGCTCTAGTCCTTTGATTTGCATCTTTTAGTTGGTTGTCAGAACTAGAGAAATAGCGGTAAGCAGTCGTTATATAGCCAGTGGAGAAAGTTGTCCTATAGCAGGACAACTTCAACTACTTAATGTGAGGGCTGGAACCAGACTCTTCCAGATGGACAGAAATAGATAGGACAAGAGGCAGCAGACACAAGCTGCAACATGAGAAATTATGATTAGATTTAAGGAAAAATCTTTGACCATGAGGATGGGCAAACACAGGAACAGGTTGCTGAAGATGAGTTTTAGACATCTCAGGGGAAGGAGGTTCTACGTCAATGGACAAGGCCCTGAGCGGCCTGATCTAGTTGGCCCTGCTTTGAATGGCTGTGGGGAGCTGAACTAAAAGATCTCCAGAGGTCTCTTCAAACCTAAATTATTCTGAGCTTGGAATACCAAAGGTCAGCATCTAAAACTGCTTGAAGCAGACTGTTAATATCTTACCTCAGTATTAATAGCAATTCAGTGAATGAGGTTGCCACCTCAGTTTAAAATGATCTAAGTTAGTGATGCTGTGGTCTTGCTCTTAGCTCTTCAGTGACTGTTCATGCCCCTTCCTCTCCTCCATTCTGCCTTCTGTCTCTTGGCCATATGTTTCTACACAATCTAACTTGCACAAGCACAAACTTATGCTGTTGTGGAACAACTTCCCGGGGATAGTCCAAACTTATCTGGGCTGTTGGCATGCTGAAACCATGTTGGTTGCATTTTGGTTTACAGCTTTCTTCGTGCTATAATGGCTGAGGATTGCTTCCTTGGACAGGAAACTGTAGTCTACAGCAAAAAATAGCAGTGTCTAGATGAAAGAATGGCATGCCAAACTGAAGACATCCATGTTCCTGCCCATTTCCTTTTTTCACCAGCATAAGACATCTTTTAAGACAGAAATATCTCATGTGCATTAACTTAAATTCCTATTTCTGGGTTGTATTGCAGGTTTTGGAGAAGGTGGACGTAGAGCAGAAAATGAGTATTCGATTTCTTCACTGATGGATGGAGAACCTATTCCTTTCTACCCAGATAGATAAGGAACAGAACTTCATTTTCTCCCTGACACCTTTCCCCAGACCATTGCTACTGGTGCATGTAAAATACATCTCCAAACCCTCCCTGGTTTGTTCTACCGATGTGAACATTTCCCATGCATCAGGAACAAAGGGAAATAGCTTCAGTGCAACTTGGAAAGGAGCATTTAAAAAAAAACAAAAGCAAAAACTGAAACTTTTCCTTCCATTTTCAATTTTTACCCTTTCTCCCCTCTTTCCTTCTATGTTACTGTATGAGTAAAAAAAGTCTCTTCCCGTGTACTGTTGTTTAATCTACAAACTGATTCTTCTGAGCTCTGAATCTGAATGGAAAAAGGGGAACACCCTCCAAAATGCTTTCTGGAGACAAGCACTTGCTCCAGTACTACGTGCAGTGGTAATTCTTCACGTTTGCTTCCACTAGCAACACCAAATTACAGCTGCCTTTTTTTTTTTTTGCCTTTTTTTTCCTTCCCCAGTTGACCCTTTATGTGCAGATTTTTCTTCCTGCTTCTAAATCTGCCTTTTACTTGAGGACTTCTCAGTTTCTATGGCTATAAGACTAGGATTGAATGCATGATGATAGTCCAGAGTAACTTAAAGTACTGTGAATAGATTTTATTTTTTGTGGGATCAGTCCACAGGAACAATAGGAATCTGTGGTGAAGACAAGCTGCTCTGTCCTGAAAGGAAAGATGAATTCTGCATTAAGTGTTCAGTAGCAGATGCAGACATTTCTTTCCTTTGGGTAGCTTTCAGGCTTGACAGCCAGTGGACCACAAAGTGCCCTCTCCAGGTTGCTTTACTCTAGGATCCCTCCTCCCATCAGGGTGGTTTTGCCTCTGAAGGTGTAAACTTGTTTACCAGCATACTTAATGGAAGAAAACTAGTCATGTCAAAATCTGGATTTGTAGCTCTGTCACTGTCCCTGGTAATAGTGTCATGAAACATTGTTCTGGTGTGTGTGATTTGGTTTTGTGGTTTGTGGGTTTTTTTTTTTTTAAATCATAGTGATCTGGACATAAACTTGTATTATCTAATATGGAAGTCTTGGGTTGTTAGAGTTGTGTTGAGGGCAATAACTATATTTATGAAAGCTCAGATACAAAAATACCTTTTAGGGAAGTACATGTTATCCCAAATTAAACTAATAGTGAAATTTCAGAATATTTGTACACATATCTTTGCAAATATAAGGTAAATACAATTAATATAATCTTGCTGATAAATTCAAGACAGCAAAAGTGTTGACTATAACTGGTTGTGAACCTTCAGGTTCACCTGTGACAAAATTTTCTGCGGTTAGATTGACAAATGATCTCATCTCAGCTGGAACATCCTATTGTCTGAGAGGTCCAATAAAACCAAAAAACACCAGGAGCTTCTTTATTGAAGAATCAGTGTTATAACTGCTTCTGTGTCACGTTTTAACATTTCTATGTTCTCAAACTGTACCCTCAAATGTGCATTTCCTTTTTTCTCACTTCCTTTAATCCTCCCTTGTGATAAAGAATGATGTGCAAATCTCTGGAGGATTTTTGTTTTGTTTTAAATTAAGGAATTGCAAACTGAAATACTACACTTTGTTTTGCAGACTGCAGCATAACAAACAAATCCAGAATGAAATGTATATTCAAAACTTTTATTCTGTATGAGAAAGAAACATTCTGGTTTTATGACCATGTCATGTAAAATAGGAATGTAACAATGTTAAATTTAAAAATACACAAGTTTTTGTAGGCATTGTGATCTGCTTATTAAAAGTAGGTGTTGCTATCTTCCTTTCTGGCTATATAGTTGTAACCCACAGTTGTGCCTTATTGTCAAAGTGAGACTGGATATTGTATTAATCCATAAATAAACCCTCCACTGTAAAAACTATTCCTGTCTGATAATTGACTATCTTCTAATGACCGGAGAAGTTAAATACCGGTATACTACTAGTAGCAGGCCTTATAGTTTGAATTTTATCACTTAATACTCTGAAAACAAGCTAACAAAAATCCTTCATTCTGCTGGTGGAGTAGAGGAAGCTAGTGTGAAACCTAAGATCTGGAAGAGGAGGGTAGTGCAGTCCTAGTACCTCAATATGGAGCCTTGTACCAACATGAGCTTTACACTTCCGTGTGGTTCCAAACTAAACTCCCTCCCACCTTCATAGTGTTGTTCTGTTTGAAGTGTGTAATATGAGTGCTACTTTGAGAAGTCTGATTTCTAAGCTAGGGGCTTATAAGGACAGATACTCTTGCTAATATACCTTAAGGAGAACCCAAATAGTTTTAATATGTGCACAGCAACAAAAAAAAGAAAAGAACAGCAGAATTTAATTTTGCTGTTAGCTGTGTAATCACCTGGAAGACACATGGGATGAAAAGCTATAGACGGACAAATATAAGCCTGTTCACAGTATTTTTTTTTTTTTAAGTCTACAGAGTCTACCTCAGTTTCAAAGACAGGTAAGCATTCAAGATGGTAAGTTCTTACCTTGCTTTATGAAAAGGATCTGACAGAAATATTTTTAGTAGCCTTTCTGAGGGAAAAGCTTTTAACAAGAATTTGCCCATTACTAGCCATCCAAGGATAAACTGAGATGAAAGTATGAAGAAAAGCATAGTTCCCTTTTTTTTTTTACAATTCC